GTTGTGTACTGACTTCGCTCGACATAGTCGGTGGTGGCCTGGAGGAGGCACCTGGCGCTTTGGTATCGAGAGGTGACATCGATATCAGAGGGGATGGTTGATGTATCATGTTTTATGGAGTAGGGATTTGGATGACGTATCTTATTGTTCCGGCGATTGCCGAGGAGAGCGGGGGATGTGCGTTGCACATGGAGCGTCCTTACCCACGTGTGTGATGCACACGTGGAGATGATTTGACGGTACGATTATTACTGAGAGACCCGATGGGTCGAGCTATGACTTGTGTACATATGTCTTGGACTGGTGAGACCAGATCCGGTGTGGTGTCCTATGTGTGCGATGCACATAGAGATGATTTGACGGTTATGTCCGATGATACATCATGCGGACTGAGTGTGTGTGAAAAGTGAATTAATTGTGCGATTGAGTGAACTGTGTTTTCCTGGCATGAAGTGTGTATATATGTATACACTTATATCTAGTGTGTGTATAATATTGATTGTGTTTGGCCATTTGCAATTTGAGTATGATCTTCGGGTCTAACCCGAAGTACTCACTAAGCACGTAGCTTATGGACGTTGTTATGCAACGTTTCAGGCACGGAGCAGTATTGGCAGCAGCAGAACGAGGGTGCTGGTGACGCGTGAGGAGAAATCTGGATCATATACTTTTCTTTCTTTGGACTTATGTTGGTTTGTACGGGCGGTGACTTGACCCTGTATTATATTATAGTTGTCGTCCTTATGTTGGTGTGTATACTACTGTATGTGGGTTTGTAAACATATACTTGTTTTTCCGCTGCGTGTGTAATAAAATAAAATTTTTTTAAATTCCCGCTATTTTATTATATGTTTGAGCGTCCATGTGGCACAACTCGTGAGCGGGAGATGGGTTACGGGTGTCACAGCTTGTGGTATCAGAGCAGTTCTTTCCACGGGAAGGAATTGCTTGAAACCCACAGAAACACTGTTTATGATTTCAAACGATTTTTGAAAGGAAGGTTTTCAAACGTATTTATACATGATCCTAAAGTCACCAGAACTGAAATTTTCTATCTTGTCTGCAGTGTACCGATGCCTCCGAGAGGTGGTAGACCTGCCCGTTTGCCGGTGAGGGAAGAACCCCCTCCACCCGAGCATGCACCACCAGAGTTCTAGCAGCAGTTCTTTGATACGATGTGGCGTCAGTACAAGATGAACATGCCACATCAGGCTGGAGCTAGACCAGGGGGTATTCCACCCCCACCTCCACCGGGACCACCAGGGCATCTAGCCCCTGTTGTGGTGGACTACCTGCCCTTGATACGGGAACTTCGGATGATGGGGACACCGAGGTTTGAGGGTACTCAGAGACCTGAGATCGCGGAGGATTGGCTGATCCGCATCTCCAGGGATCTGGATTATGTCAGATGCCCACTGCAGTACCGGACAGAGATCGCGAGTCACCATCTGTATGGAGAAGCTCTTCACTGGTGGGAGGAAGTGGTTCGTGAGGCAGTACCGGGATATCAGTTCACTTGGGAGGAGTTCCGGGCGCGTTTTGAAGACAAGTATTGTCTGAAGGGAGACCAGGATCACCGTATTGTGGAGTTCCTCCATCTGGAGCAGGGTGATCGGACTTTAGCTGCGTATGAGGCCGAGTTCACCCGTCTATTGCGATATGGGGCACATCTGGTGCCGACCGAGAGGCTGAAGATCCAGAAGTTCGTGACTGGATTACCCCCATATCTGCGGAGGAGGATTGAGATCCAGGAGTACCCTACGCTGAGTAGGTACATTGCGCAGCTGACCAAGCTGGAGAGGACAGAGTATGAGGAGCAGCAAGAGGCAAGGAACCGAGAGAGGAGTCCTATGAGACGAGTTACATTCACTCGTCCCTCGAGTTCCAGACAGGTGATGCAGCCCCGTGATAAGGGGAAGGCGCCAACATTTCGTCCGGCAGCACCACCGCCACCAGCACTGCCAGGACCGCGCAGATCTTGCCCACGCTGCGGGCGAGATCATGTTGGACCATGCCATACTGGGTACACTTGTTACCGTTGTGGTCAACCTGGCCACTTCGCTAACCAGTGCACCGGAGACGTAGCTGCTTCCAGTCAGCAGAGAGCCAGACCTCCACGCCCTCAGCCACCACGTAGAGGGGGAGTAGCACCACGGGTATATGCACTTGCTGCGGAGGAAGAAGTCATGGGTGACGGGGCTTACTTTGCTCAGGAGACAGTCACCATTGATGCTGTCGTCGAGGGTGACTCCGAGCAGTTAGACGCTGCTACCATCACAGGTATCATACATCTTCATGGTACTGCATGCCACGTTTTGTTTGATACGGGAGCTACACATAGCTTCCTAAGTTTGAGTACAGCGGATGACTTGGATGTGATGGATATGGATACAGCTGAGAGATATAGAGTGCATACCCCTTCGGGAGAGATCTTGCCAGTGACCGGGGTGTTACGCGGGATCCCTCTAATACTCTGTGGAAGGAATCTCTTAGTTGATCTGATTATAGTACCTATTCAGGGGTATGATTTGATATTGGGAATGGATTGGCTGGCCGTGCATCAGGCATATATTGACTGCCGCAGGCGGTTTATTCAGTTTGCAGATGCGGCAGGGAAGTTTGAGTTTATGGGAGACAGAGCACGGAATCCTTTCCCGATCATATCAGCATTTCGAGCCAGCCGAATGATTCGGAAGGGAGATGAGGCGTGTCTCGTGGTAGTGACAACTACCTAGGAGGCGGAAATGAGGTTGGATGAGACGCCTGTAGTTCGTGATTTTCCCGACGTCTTTCCGGAGGAATTGCCAGGGCTACCACCGGAGAGAGAGGTGGACTTTTGCATTGATGTGATTCCAGGTACGGAACCGGTATCTAAGACTCCATACCGGATGGCTCCAACAGAGATGCCAGAATTGAAGAAGCAGTTGAATGGGTTGATGGAGAAGGGATTCATTCAGCCGAGTGTTTCGCCTTGGGGAGCGCCTGTGCTATTCGTCAAGAAGAAGGACGGTAGCATGCGATTGTGCATTGACTATCGAGGACTTAATCAGGTAACCATTAAGAATCGGTATCCACTGCCGAGGATTGATGAGTTACTTGATCAGTTGCAGGGTGCACAGTGGTTCTCGAAGATAGATTTGCGCTCGGGATATCATCAGATTGGTGTGAAGGCCGGGGATGTGCAGAAGACGGTTTCGGTACACGGTATGGACATTTTGAGTTCGTCGTTATGCCTTTTGGACTGACGAACGCTCCTACAGTATTTATGCAGTTGATGAGTCGTGTATTCATGGATTACCTCGACGAGTTTGTCATCATCTTCATTGATGACATATTGATCTACTCACCGGATCGACGCAGCCATGAGCAACACTTGCGTCTGGTATTGCAGCGTTTGAGGGAGCAGAAGTTGTATGTGAAGTTCAGCAAGTGTGCTTTCTGGTTGCAGGAAGTTTGATTTCTGGGCCATGTGATTTCGGCTCAGGGCATACAAGTGGATCCGACAAAGATTGAGGCTGTGATGGAGTGGAAGACGCCTACCAATGCCACAGAGATCCGCAGTTTCTTGGGATTGGCAGGGTACTACAGGAGATTTGTCGAGGGTTTTGCCAAGTTGGCAAAACCAATGACGAAGTTAACAGGGAAGAATGTGCGGTTTGATTGGACACCGGAGTGCGAAGTGAGCTTTGTAGAGCTCAAGAGACGACTCACGACCGCACCTATCTTGGCATTACCACAGCCAGGTATACTTTATGAGGTGTATACCGATGCGTCGAAGCAAGGCTTGGATTGCGTATTGATGCAGGAAGGACATGTGATTGCATACGCATCCCGACAGCTGAGGAAACATGAGGAGAATTATCTGACGCACGATTTGGAGCTGACGGCAGTGGTACATGCGTTGAAGATTTGGAGATCCTATCTATATGGAGAGAAGGTTAAGCTCAACACTGATCACAAGAGCTTAACCTATGTGATATCCCAGAAGGATCTGAATCTTCGACAACGTAGATGGATTGAGTTGATAGCTGATTATGACTTGGAAATCGCATATCATCCGGGCAAGGCGAATGTAGTCGCAGATGCCTTAAGTCGGAAGAAGATTCTATCAGCTATTCAGATACTCTCATCTTCGCAAGAGAACATAGTTGAGTTATCAGCTATGTTAGGACATATGGAAATCGAGGAGGATCATGATTTGAGTTTGAGGAGACGTGTGATAGAGGGACAGAGTCATGATCCGGATTTGCAGAAGATTATTGAGGAAATTAGCAGATATGGTGAGAAGGGATATCAGATAGATGAGGAGCATGCATTGAGGCTTCATCAGCGACTTTGTGTACCAGCAGACCTTGAACTGAGACAGGACATCTTGCGAGAGGCACATCAGTCTCGATTGGCCATACATCCGGGAGCCAGCAAGATGTACCAGGGTTTGAGACAGTGGTACACATGGCCAGGGATCAAGAGGGACGTTGCAGAATTTGTAGCCCATTGCTTGATCTGTCAGCAGGTGAAAGCGGAGCGACAGATGCCCAGTGGGAAGTTACAGCCATTGGAGATTCCGGAATGGAAGTGGGACTCGATTGCGATGGATTTTGTGGTTGGATTACCGACGACCCCAGCGAAGAAGAATGCTATTTGGGTGGTCGTCGATCGATTGACGAAGTCCGCACATTTCATTCCGATTCGACAGGAGTATACAGTGGAGAAGCTGGCAAATATTTATATTGATAACTCAGTGAACGAGAAAGCAGTCGAATCAGATAAGGTGGCTTGTCCATGCCTTATGTTCGACATATGATATCGCGATACAAAAGGATCATGAGTCGGAATCATCACTGGCTTTCGTATGATCACAAACAAACTCTATTCGAGATAGGTAGTCATAGTGTCTTGCTAGAGACCGCCTATGACTTGTATTACCGGAATGGAGATTCTGCATTTTACTGCTATTCCAGATGAGCCTACAGGGTCACACACAATAGGGATGGACATTACGTGTGCTAAATTATTCCGATTAGGAATCCTAATTGGATTGAGATTCCTAATTGGAATAGGAATCCTAATGGGATTAGGAATCCTATTATGTATAGGAATCCTAATGAGATTAGAATTCTATTACATCTAGGAAACCTAATGAGATTAGAATTCTAATAGGTTTAGGAAACCTAATTAGATTAGGATTCCTAGTAATCTATTCCTTGTCAAATTAGGATTTTTGAAAAGTCTATATAAGGAGAATGTCTTCTAGGGTTTTAAGTGAAGAAAAAGGAGAAGAAAAAAAAAAAATGGAGAAGAAAAAAAAAAGAAGAAAAAGGAGAAGAAAAAAAAAAGGAAGAAAAATAAAACCCTAAGCCTCCAAAAACCTTGCACACAAGAGAGATCGAGATCTCTAGTCCTAGCAGACAAGTTCCAAGGTGTTGGAATCCATCCCGACGTGTGGATACGTGTAGAGGGCGAGGTATTCTTCCTGCCTAGAGTGATCGGACGAACAGATCAATTGATACAGGCCTCGGATCGATTGAGGTAAGCGTTCTAACGTTTCTATGATTCAATAGTAGCATGGTTCTAGGGTTTCATTAAAAATTTTGTTTTATATCCGCTGCGCAAACCCTAGAATCGATCTCTTAGGAATTAGATTCGCTCATGAGATCCCAGGAAACCCAACAGTTGATAGCTGATTATGACTTGGAGATTGCATATCATCCGAGCAAGGTGAATGTAGTCGCAGATGCCTTGAGTCGGAAGAAGATTCTATCAGCTATTCAGATACTCTCATCTTCGCAGGAGAACATAGTTGAGTTATCAGCTATGTTAGGACACATGGAAATCGAGGAGGATCATGATTTGAGTTTGAGGAGACGTGTGATAGAGGGACAGAGTCATGATCCGGATTTGCAGAAGATTATTGAGGAGATTAGCAGATATGGTGAGAAGGGATATCAGATGGATGAGGAGCATGCATTGAGGCTCCATCAGCGACTTTGTGTACCAGCAGACCTTGAGCTGAGACAGGACATCTTGCGAGAGGCACATCAGTCTCGATTAGCCATACATCCGGGAGTCAGCAAGATGTACCAGGGTTTGAGACAGTGGTACACATGGCCAGGGATCAAAAGGGACGTTGCAGAGTTTGTAGCCCATTGCTTGATCTATCAGCAGGTGAAAGCGGAGCGACAGATGCCCAGTGGGAAGTTACAGCCATTGGAGATTCCGGAATGGAAGTGGGACTCGATTGCGATGGATTTTGTGGTTGGATTACCGACGACCCCAGCGAAGAAGAATGCTATTTGGGTGGTCGTCGATCGATTGACGAAGTCCGCACATTTCATTCCGATCCGACAGGAGTATACAGTGGAGAAGCTGACAATGATTTATATTGATGAGATTGTCCGCTTGCATGGGGTTCCGAGTGAGATCGTTTCAGATCGTGATCCCCGGTTTACCGCGCGACTATGGGGTGCCCTACAGAGCGCGATGGGAACTCAGCTGAGGATGAGTACTGCTTATCATCCTCAGACAGACGGGCAATCGGAGCGAACCATTCAGACGCTCGAGGACATGTTGAGAGCGTGTATTCTGGAATGGGAAGTTCCTTGGGATAGGTACCTGACGTTGTGCAAATTTGCGTACAACAACAGCTACCACGCCAGCATAGGTATGCCACCTTATGAGGCTTTATACGGACGATCTTGTAAGATGCCTTTGTGTTGGACGGAGATCGGAGAGCGACACATCTTTGGACCTGAGATTGTGGAAGAAACGACAGAGGTTATCCGCAAGATCAAGGTCAATCTGAAGGTCGTACAGGATCGCCAGAAGTCTTATGCGGACCGGAGAAGAAGAGACTTTATAGTTGAGGTGGGCGATTTTGTATTTCTCCGAGTACAGGCTATTAGAGGGTATACGCGATTTGGAAAGACGGGGAAACTCAAGCCGTGTTACATTGGGCCGTACCCTGTGATTGCAAAGGTCGGGGCTGTAGCATACCGATTAGACTTACCTCCAGAGCTCGGTCGCATTCACAATGTATTCCATGTATCTATGTTGCGGAAGTACATCGCGGATCCTTCGCATATATTGCAACCACAGAAGATTGAGCTTACCAGTGATGTCAGAATCCGCGATCAACCACTTCAGATCGTTGATCGGAAAATCAAGAGATTGCGGAACAAGGAAATTCCTTTGGTCAAAGTCATTTGGAGCA